AGAGAGAGAGAGAGACCGACTGAAAGTGCTCAGGGATAGAGAGAGAGAGAGAGAGAGAGAGAGAGAGAGAGAGAGAGAGAGAGAGAGAGAGAGAGAGAGAGACCGACCGATTGAAGATTGGGTTCTGCAGTTATTCTTAGTAGAATTGAGTTACTTAATGTGTACTGTTGTTGAACGACCTCTCAATAGCCACATCAGCAATGTCACTGCCCCAGTTGTACTCTGGCCGAGGGCGCTTACAGGTGCGCTTCCTTTTCACGAGAGATGCTGACCGTTGGTTCCTTGCATTATCTACACATCAATACCCCCAGGTTATGTTATTGTCAGTACATACACTTTATACCATACAAACATACCAATCCATCTGCATGATATCGAATGACATATACATATACTGTCACATATCTACCAAATACAACATCGCACTTTGTGAAACATGTGACGAAAGAGCAGGCAGCATGCAGCAAACTGAAACCGTTCATTTGCCTTTTTCTGTGCTTTTATTTCTTTTCTCTTTCCTCCAGCTTTTGTTCTTTCAGCTCTCCTTTGACTGTGCTCAGAGAGAGAGAGAGAGAGAGAGAGAGAGAGAGAGAGAGAGAGAGAGAGCTTTTCTTTCTTCTCTTTCTTTTAGATTTTGTTTTCTTCTCTCCTTTTACTGTACACAGCGAGAGAGAGAGAGAGAGCTTTTCTTCTTTCTTTTCTCTCTTTCTTTTAGCTTATATTCTTTCAGCTCTCCTTTTACTGTGCCGAGAAGGAGAGAGAGGAGCTTTTCGTTCTTTTCTCTGTCTTTCAGCTTTCATTCTTTCAGATCTCCCTTTACTCTGGCGAGAAGAGAGCGAGAAAGGGGGCGAGGGAGAGAAGGCGTTCATGCACGCATGCCCACGACCGAGTGAGTGAGCGAGAGGGAGAGAGTCCCTTTACTCTACCGAGAAGAGAGAGAGAGAGGAGGAGAGGGAGAGAGGGCACTCGTGCCCACGCGCCCACGACCAAGAGAGAGAGAGAGAGAGAGAGAGAGAGAGAGAGAGAGAGAGAGAAGTTGAGGAAACTGACCTCACGGAAATGGTCATTAGACCTATACACAGCATCCCTTCCCATGCCAACCCTCCCTGATGGCACTGACGTGAAAAATGGCGTCTCTCCAAGAATGTTCCCATCCAGAAGCCGAGGTGGTGGCCTCAGAAATAGCTCCACATCCGCCGCCCTTCCGAACTGAGGAATCTTCGTGTCCAGCTTCGTTGAGACAATGACCGTCCGCGACAATTCCGGATCCATCTGCACCGAAAACATTGCACGCACGCACAAATGGGCCTTGCTCAGTCGGTACACCGATGAACTGTTGAAATACAGACCTCAGTTCGAATCCCAAGCAACTCACACAAGTAAAGAACTCTCAGAAAGGAAGGAGGGGAAATTTAAAAAAAAAGAAAGAAAAGAAACTTGCAAGCACAGATGTATCGTCCAATTCCCAGCAGCTGCAAAAAACTGGCATCTGTCAAATTCCCATCAGCTGCTAACAACTACCGTCTTCCCCCAAACACAACGCACCCGGATTATGGCTGTACCGAACCGGAAATATAGCGTGTATACATTCATTTTCAGGGTGCGTTATGTTCAGGGGAAGACAGTAGCATGACGTGCCGGATGTCACAATTGGCATTCTATTTGTTGATTGGCGAGAGATCAAAAACAGCATTGTTGTCCTTCAGGGCATCCGTTAAAACTGGAACGATACACAGAAGATTAGCATATGCCCCTGCACATGAATGACACCCATAAATGGAGAAATGGTCCAAATTAGAA